ATGAGTTGTATTCAGACATTGCTGCTTACAAACAACAATCAATGTAAGCATCAGCGTTAAATGTGTCTCGCATTGTAAGCGTTATACAGGCGTCACATCATCGAGGCAGGATAGTATATTATGCAAAATTATTGTGGGTCGAAGAGGTTCTAGTCCGAAGATATCAGGATGTAATTTCTAGCATTTTATGATTATTCACAACAGTGACAAATAACCACCAAACCATGTTCATACGCATCGCTCAATTTTTCGTAAAACTGAGTTTACATTTTATGCAGATTATTACCAGTAGTAGGCAATTATAAGGTGGGTCAAGACGAATTGAAGCCCTAAGAAGCCTGAGCATCGAGCGACATGACCGTACGGCATGACTCGCAGATTACTGTATGACAACATCAAAAATCCATACTACTGCTGCTGCTTGCAGGTCAACGACTGTTTATTCCCTTTCGGCTGGTGACACCAAAGTAACGTGAGACGAATTCTTTAATACACAGAACAGGCGCTATGGGAATTTCACTCTTGCGAGTCGAATCCAGTGCCTCCGCAGACAAAGGTCAATTTCTTATCACTGTGCCACCGGATAACGTTTTCTTTCCATAACCAGTGATAAGTGAGTGGTACAGTAATAACGTACCCTTGAAATGGGTCCTGTTACAAACTGAGGCTGTGTCGTTTACCAGTTCACCACCTTGTCACACAACGAATAACAACACGTACTCATATTCGAGTAACACGTACTCAGATTAACATTAGCGCAAGCACCAGTTATTTAACAATGCAACTCGCACACCTTTCATTGTAAGTGTCAACAGACGTCTTGAAAATAAAGGCCTAAAAGTTTGGCGATCCAGGACACGTTTCTGAATGTCTGCATCGTTGACCAAACTACACAGTAGGATAGTTTTTTTTATCGCAGTTAATGAACCATGTGAAACCATTATGTGATATATGCATAGATTTAGTTTTACTAACTCATTGCTGAAAAATTAAATTTTTTGGCGATTCCATTGATTCCAGCAAACTTCTATTCATTCATAAAAAATAGCTAGACAGGGTTACATATCGTAGTCTACCAGTAGCGCTATCTGTAACTAATAAAAGGGTAAATAATAACCGAGGAAGATCGATCAATAAAGACATATATACATACCCTCAGGCATGCATGCCGGCGGTCATAGAGGATGTTTGATCCCTCGTTGCCATTTAAAACATTTAAAGCCAATGGATATCCGGCATATTATTGTGCCTTCGCAAAGCCTTGCGATGGACAGCCAAGGGAAAGGAAGATTTCCTTGAGAGAGTTAATTTAGATTAAACAATCGGAATTACATTTTAGACCACTAAGCTTCATTTCAAGAAATCGCCGGTGAATTGGGGCTAAGGGAGTAACGCCGTAACTTTGCCTGCATGCTAGTCCAATTGGAATATGAATCGATGAGAATTATGAATGAATGAAGGAAGAAATGAAAGAACGAATAAACGATCGAGAAATGAAATAATGAATGAACTGATCAATGGATGAAGATTTACTGATTTAGATCGACTTCGAGAAAAAACTGCAGATATGCATATTGGCCATCAAGAATCCACGTATCTTAACGGAACTTATAAGCTACCAAAGTATATACAACGATAAAATAGTCGATGGACTGGTGCGGGCTTGTGTTTAGCGACTGAGCCTCTTCGTCTCTGTCAAATGAGTATTGGATAATACTGAAAGTTGATAATGCAGAAAAATGATTAAGTTAATTCGATAATTGAAAATCTAGTGAACTTGCTGACGAGAGCTGCCTTAAAACCAGTTCTCCAAACCAACCACACAATAAGTTTGGTCACAGCAAGCCAAGCAACGTGCTGATAAGAGGATTGTATGCAAATTGAGGGGTCGACGAAGTAGGCAGGTTTACACATAGAAATATTTATCCAGAAACTGATGCATTTTCTGGGCGTTGTTTGGCAAATAAATGCGCAGCAGGTCATTCATGGTGCCAGCCACTGTTAACTATCGCTAAAGCTCCCAGCCCCCCACCCCACCTTGAACCTTCATTGGAGCCTGACGGATTCATAGAAGCGAATCCCGCTATGACGCTTGGGTGACGGAAAGATATCGGTTATCTCAGCCTACGACGGTTGTCTA